TAAGCTAAAGACTTGAGATATATTTGAAGTGGATGTTCTACATTGAAACAAATACTAGGAATATGAAAACAAGAAAACGAAGGTTTTAACATAATTCATCACCTATTTTGTGGATTATTGCAGTTGTTTTTTTTTTACACCAATAGTACCACTTAAAGTGCTTGTGAACTATAATTTTTTACATTTTTGGTAGAAAATATACTTTTTTATTAGCCAGTCTGGATGTATTTTTAATCATGCACAGCTTTCAATTTTTTTGGATAATTATAAAAGCCTGCCTGGGCTCTGTGAGATATTTGATACCAAAAATTGTGTGAAGTCATAGTAGTAACTTGATGAACCAAGAAAAATTACCAGTAATCTTTCACTAAAATACATTGGCATTGTAAGAAGCTAATCATCATCATTATCATCATCATCATCATCACCACCACCACCATCATCATCATCATCACCATCATCATCATCATCACCATCATCATCATCATTATCATCATCATCATCATCACCACCACCACCATCATCATCATCATCATCATCATCATCAAAACCATGTTTTATTTTCTTATAAAATTCAATTGCGAATCTTGCTACATGTAGGTAATTCACATAAGCATACTTGAATCTAACAAGATTAAAATATATGTATATATAATAATTAAAATAGAGTTTGCTGAAGAAGGCCGAAGTGCCGAAACGTTCAATAAAAAGTAGAAAACCTAGTTACAAGTTGCGTGGCTTTTTCTTTATTTATTATATTTATAATAATTAAAATATACAGCCTTTTGCAAAAATTATGAGAATTGTCGAAATATCTAAATATCATAATATCCATATCCATRTATTGTTCGGAATACGCGGGTTTGCTAGAATAATTCATTGTTGACATCCAGAAAATGTTCAGAACTACGGATAAGTCTGTCGTCAAAAAAAAAACTAAACTACAAAGACAAGGGACTAAGGGCATCGCGCGGGATTACCCATCATGCACTCGAYATTATGATATTTAGATATTTCAACAATTCTCATAATTTTTGCAAAAGGCTGTATAAAATATAATTAAAATATATATATAATATATTTCGGCCGAAGTGCCGAAATGTACATTAAAGTTCATCACCAGTTAAAACGGAAGGGCTCTTAAAACCAGGTAGATCAGCGTAGAGGGTAGAACCATGTGCAATTTGAAGGGTACTAGCCAGGAAACGAAGGATTGAGTCATGTCTHCAGGTTAAAACGGCCATCATTAAGATATAATTTACACCCAGAGACAACATGCAGCAGAGATTCAGGTTGAAGGCAGAAGGAACA